ATGCTGCTCACGGATCATGCTTGTGACCCAGTCAACGCCCTTGCTTGAGCTGATAAAGGAAGAGCTGCTTGTTGCCATATAGTGTCTGTTGGGATACTGCCAGGGAGACAAAGTCCATCATGGCCCCCAAGCCGCCTCCGGACATCCATCGATCTCCCGTAGACACGCAGTATCATTCAATTAGCGACACGAGCTTCCAGAAATAGCTTGCCACGAAAGCATAGACACAACAGAAACATCCTGTGAACAGGAAATACGCAGGCTGTGACACAAACATCCTGCTCCCTTTTAAGGTGGAACGGAAATATCCTAACAGTGTCTTGCTTGGAGAAAGTGCATTAACAAGAAATATCCTAAATAAATATAAATGTGTTCCCTCACATTTACCGCAGTGCCTGGAGATGGGCAGCCAAGTTGTGTATCCATAGCAGTGACTAGAGCAGAAATGACCATTAGGAAGAGCACAGAGAGAAAGTATGCCATGGTGTACCTGTAGCAGCACAACAAGATGCCTTCGTCTGCCCCAACTGCAACAAAACATGTCTCTTCTACATAGGTCTCTAAAGCCACAGCAGGCACTGCATGTTGAAGTAAGAGTAGTAGAAACACAACAAAGAAGCTCTCTCTCTCTCTCTCTCTCTCTCTCTCTCGCTCTCTCTCTCTGACACTCTTCTTTAGAAATTAAACCAATGTGTAGACTTTGACATTCATAAACTTTATAGATGAATTAAAATAAATATTTACAGTCACATGCTTTTTCAAGCAGGGGTTTACAGTCTCTTCTTCCAACTTCCAAACGACTGTATTTTTCTCTCTTTCCAGAGCTCAGCATTCAGCCTTCTGTATCTCAGTTAGGCCATGCCTTGCAGCTCCTAAGAGAGATTTCCCCTTTTACCTTCTCTTGCAGCTTTGCTCTCTTTCTTTCAAGCAGAGAAGAAGCACTCCAACACTCTATTCAACTAAGCAGTCTTCTTCTTCTTTCTTCTTTGGCGATCACTCGTAGCCGAGTAAGATTGTCTTCCATGAGCACGGTCTTAACAGTGAGTCCGTAAGTGACTGTGGAGGCAAATTCTGGATCCCCACGTCCTTCCACAGCAGGGACATAGGTTTCCAGGCAGGAGCTGATCATGGTAAGGGCTTGCCAAGTGTGCCTTCCTCTTAGCATGTTTCTCCCTTTCATCCTGAATTCAAGCATCTTCAAAGCCCATGACGCCTTTGGTAAAGGCTGTTCTCCAATTGGAGCACTCGCAGGCCAGTGTTTCCCAGTTTCCCAGTCGGTGTTTATACTACATTTTTGTACATTTGCCTTGAGAGAGTCTTTAAACCTCTTTTGCTGACCACCAGCATTACACTTTCCATTTTTAAGTTCAGAATAGAGTAGTTGCTTTGGAAGACAATAATCAGGCATCCACACAGCATGACCAGTCCAATGCAGTTGATGTTGAAGAAGCATTGCTTCGACACTGGTGATCTTTGCTTCTTCCAGTACACTGCCATTAGTTCGCCTGTCTTCCCAAGTGATGTGTAAAAATTTTCGGAGACATCGTTGATGGAATCTTTCGAGGAGTTGGAGATGGCGTTTATAAGTGGTCCATGTTTCACAAGCATACATTAAGGTTAGTAGTACAATAGCTTTGTAAACAAGCATGTTGGCTTCCCTGCGAAAGTTCACAGTGGATTCTAAAACACAGTCATCTTGCTTCACATAAAATGGAGTCTCTCATTCACTAGATACCTGCCATGTGGCCAGCGTTAGCCAATCACATGAGAACTACTAGAGAACTCTGGGTTAAACCACAGAGCCTAGGACTTGCCGATCAGAAGGTAGGCGCTTCGAATCCCTGTGACAGGGTGAGCTCCCATTGCTCGGTCCCTGCTCCTGCCAACCTAGCAGTTCAAAAGCACATCAAAGTGCAAGTAGATAAATAGGTACCGCTCTGGCGGGAAGGTAAACGGCGTTTCTGTGCACTGCTCTGGTTCGCCAGAAGCGGCTTAGTCATGCTGGCCCCATGACCCGGAAGCTGTACGCCAGCTCCCTTGGCCAATAAAGTGAGATGAGCGCCGCAACCCCAGAGTCGGTCATGACTGGACCTAATGGTCAGGGGTCCCTTTACCTTTACCTAATGCATACAAACACTTACAATTTCAGTGAATTAAATTACTATACTTAACACTGCAGCCTTCCAGCAGCTTCCAGGCATGCTCCTCCATTGTCTCCCTAAACAGACAGATGCCAGCATGCTCGCTTGTTGCCAGAGCACCATAGTCAGACTGTTGGTACATCAAGCTCAGTATAAGAAATGCTAGGGATTAAATCTGGGACCTTCTGCATACAAATCAGATGTTCTACCACTGAGCTTATAACCCTCTTCCATGTGTCAATGGAGGAACATATTTACATATTTGATGCCATGCCCAAAGCAATCTAGCACAGGGCAAGGATTAGCTAGATAAAGCCTGCCCCTTGTGATCATGATCATTATTAGGCACCCGCAGCTGATGGCACTTGAATATCAAAATACATTATATGCAGAGATGCATTTAACATCATATCTCATTTGGCCCTGAATATGCCATCTGACCTTGGCTGTCAAATTCTTCCCTTGGTTTAATTAAGGAGATACATTTATTTAATTAAGTGCTTCCTAGTTGTGAGAGTTTTGATCCCCTTTATCCATCAACAGAAAGGGTGCTAAATAATGTCTGTCTCTATATTTAGATGACAATTATCTATTTTCGGGATGAGTCACTCTCTGAGTCCTCTTATCAGTAATGAATTCTCTGTCTCTTTCTTTCCAACCCCACCCCAGAACGCATGCATGCTGGAATGACACAACCGTGCTTGTCTCCAGAATAAGCATGTTTGGATTATGTGCCTTTGATCCCATCTGAGCAGATCATGATAGTATTAGCAATTACTTAACGAAAAAACAGGCATCTGTCCAAATCTCAGCTTGTCCTGATTGATGCTAATCAGCCTAAACCTCTCCAGCAGTCTGAAGCAATCTATTAGCATACTTTATTAACCTTTTTGGAAAGCAATGCCCTCTCTTCTCTAGGGACATAATACTTAAATCAGAGATTTTTATTTTTATTTTTAATTAAAAAAAATTGCAAGTCAGGTTAGCAAGGTGATGTTTCTGGCCCTGCAGTTAAATTTTAGTTTTCATGAGTTTGATAAATAGCCTGCATTAGCACTTAGTGTGTGAAGTTAATCATGCTAGAAAGAAAAATAGCATGCTTTGTCTAGTGCAGGGATAACTAACCTTTCAGCAGTGGGGTTCCTTCACCTTTAATGGTAGCCAAGGGATCAACTTGGTGCTGCAGGGGCCTGGAAAACCATAACCATATCCTCTCCCCATCCCACTTTTGCACTACTATTAATGGTAAAGGTAAAGGTAAATGGACCCCTGACCATTAGGTCCAGTCGTGACCGACTCTGGGGTTGCGGCGCTCATCTCGCTTTATTGGCCGAGGGAGCCAGAGTACAGCTTCCGGGTCACGTGGCCAGCATGACTAAGCCGCTTCTGGCGAACCAGAACAGCACATGGAAACGCCGTTTACCTTCCCGCCGGAGCGGTACCTATTTATCTACTTGCACTTTGACGTGCTTTCGAACTGCTAGGTTGGCAGGAGCAGGGACTGAGCAACAGGAGCTCACCCCATCGCGGGGATTCGAAGCGCCGACCTTCCGATCGGCAAGCCCTAGGCTCTGTGGTTTAACCCACAGCGCCACCCATGTCCCTCCTATCAATGGTACTGGAGATGTAATAGCAGCAGATGGCATGGTTGGGCAGTACTGCTTAACTGGCCTCTGGCCAATTGTGTTGCTATTGCGTCCCGGGAGCTAGAGAGGGAGGAATGGCACAGTGGCAAGGTCAGCGTGGTGAAAATGGCACTGGTGGAGTCAATCTGTCCTTCCTGCCTGTGCATTTGCACCATGTTAAACAACCCAACACTCTGTCCCTCCCTTTCTACCTCCAGGCAAGCAACAGCAACATGACCAACTGGAGGTCAGGCAACTGGTGGTTCCCCACCAGACCACTTGCTGCTGACATCTAATGTTGAAAAGTGACTATTCCTGTTGTCAACAGTGCTAGAGCCAACGTTAACTAAAGTGAGGAGCTGTAGCAGAGGACATGATTTGCATGCAAGAGGTCCTGGGCTCAATCAAAGACATCTGAGTTTCTGAACCCCTGGAGAGGAGTGGCCAGTCACCATAGGAAATTCTGAGGCAGGTGGACTAGTGCCTGACTCAGAATAAGGCAGCATATTCTGTGAAATCCAGGAAGGAGGGCCAGCGCAAGACATTTTGGCACCTGTGGCAAACCACCCCCACCAGGGAAGAAGGGGGTAAGTGAACATCTACACAGGGATCTCCTGCCCCTGTGGATTGTGTCGCCTGAGGTAGTCGCTTCACCTTGCCAAATGGGTGAACCAGCCCTGCTAGGAAGGAGCTAAAAAGAAATTGGAATTGTATCTGTGATGACAATACTCAGTTGTTGCCTCTTCCCTTCTAAGCAACAGAAGTAACTGATTTATCACAGTTACCTTTTTCCAAATCCACAAAGGCCTGAATATGAATAATGTCAGTTGTGTGAGGCTCCCAGGGCTAATCAAAGGCAAATCGTTGCACGGGTTGTAAATGTTTCCTGGGACTTCATTTCTAAGGTTCAGATAATCCATTGTGCTCCCTTTAGGTGTTCTATTTCTCTCACCGATTGCTGGTAAAAGATATGACAGAGTTTTCCAGGTGTTAATTACCGATGCATCTTGATAGCCTATGTTAACTTCCAATGTAAATTTGCTGTCTGAATGCTTTGCATTTTGCAATTAATATTTGCGCAGGCATTTATCTAATTAATTAATGTTATCCGAGTGGCTAAGGGAGGGGGAAACTAGAGAGTTCATAATTTCAGACTTTCTTGCGATTATTTAAGGTGAGTTGGGGTAAGGGTGAAGAACAGAAATAGCATAGTCGAAACAAAATTTAAAAAATCCTTCCAGTAGCACCTTAGAGACCAACTAAGTTTGTTATTGGTATGAGCTTACCTGAAGAAGTGTGCATGCACACGAAAGCTCATACCAATAACAAACTTAGTTGGTCTCTAAGGTGCTACTGGAAGGATTTTTTTTATTTTGTTTCAACTACGGCAGACCAACACGACTACCTACCTGTAACTAGAAATAGCATAGGTTAACCACTTTTGTGCAGCTTGCCTTTTCTTACATTTCAAAACAGAGAAAAAAAACTATTTCCATGGATGCTTTGCATGATATACAGACAAATTCTAGGACTGAGATGGGGAACCTCAGATGTTGCCCTCAGATGTTGTTGGACTCACTATAGCATCCAGCATCCTTGATTGGGGTGATAAGACCTGGAGGTCCACAGGTTCTTTATCCCTTTTCTAGAATTCTACCATTCATCTTCTCCCTTTATCTATTCCATGGGAAGCAGAGGACATTGTTTGCTAAAGCAAGACCATTTTTATTTTGTCATTCCCTGCATTTCAGTTATCTATTTAGGAGTTTACCAGGTCATACAGTTTTCATTCCTGTTCACAGCCATCATTTGAACACCCAGGAGGCAAGCTCAGCCCAGAAGCACCCAAAGTTTGGGAACTTGTATTTCAGAGATGTGTTCAGCCTCATCCAAAGCGAGTGAATGCCACTTTCCTGAATCATAAAATCATAGAATCATAGAATCATAGAGTTGAAAGAGACCACAAGGGCCATCGAGTCCAACCCCCTGCCAAGCAGGAAACACCATTAGAGCACTCCTGACATATGGTTGTCAAGCCTCTGCTTAAAGACCTCCAAAGAAGGAGACTCCACCACACTCCTTGGCAGCAAATTCCACTGTCGAACAGCTCTTACTGTCAGGAAGTTCTTCCTGAATCACAAGAGTGATTCATTGCATCTGTTAGTTTCAAAATTGTTATCCCTCACCGATTCTGTAAGAACATGCCTAGGCAGTAGATCAAAGAATTTACACCCAATTCTGGATTTGATAAAGATAGTTGGGTGTCAGCGCCGATCAGCGCATTGAGGACATTATGCTGCGATGTGAACTTCCACAGTAGCTTTACATAAATATAAATGAGATGGAGCCCTGCAGAAATGCCACTGCAAATCTGTACTCAACTCTCAACCCTTCAGGAAGATTTGATCCAGCCAGGGTGGTGTAGTGATTTGTTTCAGAAACAATGGGTCAGTCACTATTTCTCAGCCTAAGCTATTTCCCAGAAGTGCTGTTAGGATAAAAGAGGGACTGTGTATGCTACCTCAGAGAAAGGGTGGGGTATATTTATGTCCTTCCTATAAAATATAAATATCAAAAGCCACTAAAAGGGTCACACTCCCACAGTTCATTGGTATGAGTTGGTACAATTTTTCAAAAAATCTGTTCCCTACCCCCCCAAAAAAAACCCAGAAGAACCACCTCGTTAATTACCTTGCCCAGTAAATGTTAATTGGAAAGAAGCCTGTAGTTTTTCAACTCCTCTGGGTCCAGTTATAACCTTTACAATAATGGATACATAACAGCTTTCTTTCAGTGCTGGAGGACCCTGTTAGCTGACACAACTTCCAGAAGTGCCAGGTAGCCTCTTCAAGCTCAATTTAGATGGGCTGAGCCTGCAAGCTGACTGAATATTTCCAAATATCATATCCGTATCAGCAGGCAATAGCGAGTGAAGATGGTCCATCTGAGCAACTGATGTAAGCAGTAGCCGTGGGCACAGGAACCAAGGAAGCAGCCTCAGGCTGAGTCAGACCATTAGTCTGCCTAACTCAGTAATGCCTACTCTGAGCAACAGCAGCTCTCCAGGATAGAGGACATTCACAGCCCTCCTAGGGAATGCTGGAAATTGAACCTGAGATCTTTTGCACACAATGCGTGTGCTCTGCCACTGAGCGACGAATGTTAAGCTCCGACTCTGCAAGAAATTACCAATCCAAGTCAGGGTTGACGTTTAGCCGTTTTTTGGGGGGGCTCATCCCCATTTCTGCCTAGAAGGCACGGTTTTCTGCTTGGCCCACACTTCCTGGGCCCTGTCCAAGCAGTTTCCCCCTTGCCCCACTCCTTTGTCATGGCTAAAATGGCCGCTGTTTCTTTAATGCTTAAAAAAGCTGGGTCAGCATGAGTCAGCGGCCTGCACCAAGTTGTATATATAGAGTGAGAAAGGTCGGGTTGGTTGGTTGGTTGGTTGGTTAGTGAAAGCTGGTAGTGTTGATGTGTATAGTTGGTCAGTCGCTTTTGCAGAAAGACTTTTAATAATAAAGGCAGAAAGTACTCTGCAAGGATATTTTTCTCATGGACTCTTTTGTGCCGACAAGGGTCCGAGGACCAGGCTGAGGCGACAAAGGGAGGTCAGAACCTTTTTTTTGCTTTTTACAAACACTGACATCCCTTTCCAAGGGAAATCCCGCTCTTTAGCAATAGAGCAGAACAAATTGCAATCCGGGGGGAACCGGAATTGCCATTTGCTCCAAATGAGTGTGAAAGAGTGGTCTTCCTCAAGGGAAAGCAGAAGGGACAATAGAAAGCGTGGCCAAGCCCATAGTGGCCAACGAAATCCTCTTTCTTACAGTACATATACCAGGAGACTTGGTACGTTGCCATGGTCCCCTAATAATCCAAAACAGCTTCATTGGATGGTATTTTGAAGATTTAGCTGGGTATAAGAAGTATAGACTTCCTTGGTATATACATGTCCTCTGTGCCACCCTCCATCAAATTTGCCCCACATTTCTAACCGCCCTTGGGTGTAGCCAGGATTTTCCCCCCAAAAATTTTTTATTGATTTTCCAAAATTTATAAACAAACAAACAAACAAACATAAATCCTAACTGTAATTATTCCACTCTTAATAACATTGTTATGTGACTTCCTCAAATCCCCCTGGCTGAGTTTCAATATATATCATTATAACCGTTTTCCAAAGCAAATTTCTCATAAAATTTACTTAATTAACGTCTTTCTTTCTTTTCATTTTAAATTTAAACATCTTATTCTATAACATCACATATTTAAATCCTAAGCCTATCTAGAGTTTGCATGTATTTCTATTTAAATTATCTTAGCATATTTAACTAAATAGTCTTTGAATTTCCTCCATTCCTCCTGGTACTCCTCCTGCTTCTGGTCGCAGACTCTTCCGGGGAGTTCGGCTAGCTCCGAAAAGTCCATCATCTTCATCTGCAATTCCTCCACTGTTGGCACTTCTTGTGTTTTCCAATTCTTGGCTAACAAAATTCTAGCTGCAGTTGTGGCATACAAAAACAATCTAACATCTTTCTTGGGCAATTCCAAAGGGTGTAGCCAGGATCTAGAAGATTTAAGCTCCTTTATCTCCCTGGTAAACCAAGGACCTACTCATAACCAAAGCCTTAAGGCAGGGCACCTATGAACAAAACCACTACTTGCATTTACCAGCTTCCTATTTTAGAGAACAACACCATTGATTACATTTCTAGCAATACTGACAGCAAATTCCCCCCCTGTGCCTTCTAGGAACCTATGAAATCTATTAGTGCTCTAGTAAGCATCTTGCCTACATGGGGACTACAGGATGTGTCCCAAATAGACGAAACCTATTTGTTAGCTAACCAGGGAGGGCTGCTTCATCTACTGATCCTAATGAAATTCACCATCTTTCCCCTCACTTTGTATCTGTTAGTTCCTTTTTCTCTCTTTGACCCAATCCAAACTACATTGAAATTAGCGTACTCAGTGGTGCAGCCTATAAATAGGGTCACAAATCTTCAAAAACTGCGCTGATTCACGTATTATTTTCTCATCATTGCTGCTCCCAACAAATCTGGAAATGTGTTTATCAATTAATTCTCTCTGGTTTCAGGGAATTGGCCGTGAAACGTATTTGCACAGATAGAGAATTCTTGGGAGACCTCGTTTTAATTGTTCCTATTTTATCTAGCAAAGATAACAGCAGAAAATCCCATCTGCTTTTAATCATCTCTTCTTCTCTCCCCCCCTTTTTTGCAATAATTTGCTTGTAATTTTCTCCAAATGAGCTTTTGAAAATTGGATGCTATTTGTACTTTTTAGGTACCTGATTCTCTATTGGTTCCAAATATATTCATTCATTCATAATGGATAAAATCCACCTAATCATAGCAGGAGGTGCAGAGAAACGGAGCTGCAGCAATGGAATGGAATCTCTCCCTGGGTAGAGCTGGGAAAGAAATGGAGAGGAGCAGGCAAGGAATGATACTTGGAGTCCCTGTTGTGTGATAGAATTGAGCTCATTAAATCTAGGAAGAGACTGTGTGATGCATGGATAGCTGGTCAATGACTGCCCTAGTGGCCAGAAGAGCAGTTATGTTAGGGCATTCTAGTGTATCCACTCCTGTTTCCCATTTTCAGCTTGAGGGATGGATCTGAACCATTTTCTGTCTCCAGCTGCTTATAAACAGTATATGACGAAGGTACACCAAGATGGCTCTTTTCTACAGAACTGTATGTTCTCTTTTTACAGCCGAAACAAATTTGCTCTCCGTTTTAAAAATATAATTTTATTAAATTTCTGTTTTACAGTTTAGAAAATTCATTTACACAACCTTAAAATATCAGTGACTTCCCTTTTTCTCTTTCCATGGTTCATTTTGCACAGCATAAATCCCTGCATATTTTATATAAACCAAACCATTCAGTATTCCATTATTATTTCCATCAAAACCTATTTACACTGTTGAATTTACAGTATCTTAAAGCTGCCAACATTTTCAAGTGTACACAATTCCTCCCCATATATTCAGTAAACATTTTCCAATCTTCTTTAAATGAACGTTCTTCTTGTTCTCTTATTCTAGACGTTAGGTCCACAAGCTGCACATATTCCATCAGTTTAAGTTGTCATTCTTCTTTGGTTGGGACCTTGCCCGTTTTCCATTTTGGGGCTAACAAAACATGGGCCACTGTAGTGGCATACATAAATAGCCTTTTTTGACACCTGGAAATTTCCATCTGAATTATCCCCAGCAAAAAGGACTCTGTTTTCTTTTTGGAAAAGTACTTTTAAACATTTTTTTCAATTCATTATAAATTATTTCCCAATACTCTTTTACCCTTTTACAGGTCCACCACATTTGAAAGAACTTT